ACCCTTATCTCTCCGATAGCCACCCCTATCACTCTGCCTTGACAATATCATTAGCCACCCTTATCTCTCCAATAGACACCCATATCAATAGCCATCCTTATCACTCCGCTCAGACAATAACACAATAGCCACCTTTATTACTCCATCCGAACAATAACACAATAGCCACCCTTATCACTCCGTACATTCAATAATAGTGAGATGTCACCCTTATGCCCCGTATAACAACGGTAAATGGGGCAAAACCTTCACTCAATCCTCACAGTCACTCAGGATGAGGCAATGGTTCGTAGATGGAAACATATGTATGGCAAATATGACATCAAATTACTAATTGTTGTTGGAATTGATGGAAATGATAACATTCTGCCTCTTGCATTTGCTATTGTTCATAGAGAGTCGAAAAAGGCGTGGAAGTTGTTTTTTAAAAACTTGAGCACTCATGTAGTAAAGGACAGAGAAGATATATGTGTGATTTCTGATCGAGCAAAAGGAATCTCGACTAGTTTGCCGGAGTTGCGTCGATGGAGGGAGCCTAGGGCCTTTCATCTGCCTTAGACATCAAAAGAGCAATTTTCTATCTCGTTATCCAAATAAGGCCCTCAGTCACCTTATGTGGATGGCTGCTACAACACAACAAATCAACTAAGAAAATTTGAAGTTTTGATGTGGCAAATTAAAGAACATAATGGACATCCCATTGGAGAAATGGACCCTTAGTCATGATAATGGGAAAAGATGGGGAGTACTAACAACTAATCTTTCGGAGTCGTTCAATGGGCTGTTGAAGAAAGCACGACGTTTACCAATTACCGTGATGGTTAAACTTTTATTAAAGCAAACTGTTGAACGGTACACCCGTAGGTGGTGCAGCTTCAAGAGCAGGAGGAATTATGGACAAGGAGGTTCAAAATCAATTGGGAGAAGAATTATGAAAGTTCGAAAAGGCATTTTGTTAGTGATTGGAATATTGCTACAGGGGTATATGAGGTTAAGTCAATGATGTTGGACAATACTGGTGGTAATGCCCATCGAGTTGAACTGAATGCCAAAAACTGTGATTGTGGAAAATGGACTAATTTACACTTCCCATGTTCACATGTCATGAAGGTTACAGAAATAATGGGAGAGTTAGCTAGGACCTTTGTAAGCGAGCTCTTCACGGTTCAGAGTTATGTTGCAACATATTCTGGGTCTTTCTGACCAGTTGGGCACGAGGGGCATTGACCAGATCCAAGTTTTAAATTAAAAAGTAATGAATTTTATCGTCGTCCCAACAAACACGGTCGGAAAAGGACAACTAGAATTCCCAATGAAATGGATCGTGGTCCTGCAATATATGGGAAGGCTTGCACGTTATGCAGGCAGATCGGGCACAATGGGCGTCAATGTCCAAATAACGTTTGATATGTTGTGTTGCGGAAGATCGTAGGTTAACTAGTACACAATCACACACAAAGCAAATATAGAAGAAAAATTAACACAAGGATTTAACGAGGTTCGACTAAGCGTAATGCTCGGGGCAAAAACAGAGAGAGTTTTCCACTATGAATGAGAAGAAAAGTATAATACAATCTATAGAATTCCCAACTACAACCCCTATATATAGATCCCAAATAGTCCCAAACCTATAAGAGAAAGGTTTTCCAATTTGACAAGGACTATATGTTTTCCTTTCCCAAATCTATTAGGACAATAAATTTTCCTAAACCTGTAGGGATTATGGATTTCCTAAAAATACAAGGAAATAATTCAAGTCACAAAATAATAAATCTTCCCCTTGGCTTGAATTCTCTTTATTAACAGGAACAACGTCTCTCTACCTTGCCCTCAGTCCTCACGAGGGCTCTACCCAATGCAGCACACATCAACCAAGTCTAGGCAATACCTAAACTTGTTAAGAGACTCAATCTCTTCAGCCATAGAACTAATCCGTCGATTTGGTTCTGTACCCGGAATAGCTTCTAGATAGCTATAACACTCAAACACATCAACGGTCTCTGCAACTGCTAAAGCAAATCCCACAGGATTCGTATGTCCAAGAAGATTCCCATCAACTACGTTTGCAAACCTTTGCGATCGGTTGATCACCCTCTTCTCTCTATATGTTACAATGCTATATGGTTGTTGTTGCGCAGGTGCATCAACATTATCATCTTGATCAATATTTTGCACCTCCTCCATTTCTTGTATTCCAGAACTATTAGGCTGAGCTAGTGGAGATTCAATTTCTAACTCTATGCGATCACTGACACCACGATCTGTTTCTGCTATTGCCTTCTCCCTCTGACTGTCCAGTGAGGCAAATTCATTGAATGTTACATCCCTACTGATAATTAGCTATGTAGTCTTTTGATCTGTGCACCACAACCTATAACCTTTCACTCCAGTTGCATACCCTAGAAATATGCACTTCTTTGCCCTCGGCTCAAGTTTTCCATCCCTCACATGAGCATAAGTAGGACAACCAAATATCCTTAAATTTGAATAATCAGCAAGCGAACTGGACCATACCTCAAAAGAAGTTTTGAACTCAATAGCTGCGGATAGAGATCTGTTGACCAAATAACAAGCGGTATTGATTGCTTCAGCCCAAACATCCTTGCTAACACATGAGTGTGAAAGCATGCTTCCTGCCCTATCACAAAGCGTTTTGTTCATACGTTCTGCAATATCATTTTGTTATGGTGTTCCGACACAAGTGCGGTGTCTCACTATGCCCTCTCTGTTGCAGAAATTATAGAACTCAGAATTGCAAAATTTTAACCCATTGTCAGTTCGAAGACACTTAACTTTTCTTTCCGTATGCCTCTCAACCATCGTCTTCCATTTAACAAATGTCGGAAATGCCTCATCTTTTGTTTGTCTCTAGTCTTGTGCTCGGTCTTCTTGCTGAACTTTACTCTTGTCTGTTTACCAAACACACAATGCTCACAAAAATTCAAAACTTGATTTTTGTACCCATTTAGTAAAGTCTGCTTACTCAATAAAGACAATCCATTATCACTCATATGGCCAAGTCGCAAGTGCCACAACTGATACTGATTCAGATCACTTTCCCAGAAGCTACAACAACTTCCCCTTCAACAACACTGGCCTGAAGATGATACAATTTAGAATGCAGTTTACCCTTCATGAGTACCATGGAGCCTTTACACACTTTAAGTATTCCATTTTCGGAGTAAAATTTATACCCTTGATCATCCAAAGTCGAAAGAGAAATCAAATTTCTCTTTATCCGAGGAACATGCCAACGCTCAATGTTTCTGATAATTCTATCGAACATTCTCAATTTGATGGTACCAATCCCCTCTACTGGTAATGGATTATCTTCTTCCATGTAGACAGTCCCACTCGTTTGCTTGTAATTTTCAAACCAATTCTTGTGTGGACACATGTGGAAGGTAGCACCAGAATCAAGAACCCACGAATTATGCCCATGACTAGAACTCACAATACAGACTTCCCCTACATAGTCACTATCATCAGAATTATTGCAGTGGCAACAATATTTGCCGCATTATCTATTTTTTGCTTCCCTCTTTTCTCCTCCAGCTTAGGACAATCTCTCTTGTAGTGACCTTGCTCCCCACACTCATAACAGTTTTGCTTCCTTGCTCTAGACTTTGATCTGGCGGTTGACTTTTTTCTGTTAAAGTTCTTTTGTTGTGTTCTTCCTCTAATCACAAGACCCTCGCCCTCAATTATGCTGTCTGGAAAGCTCTTTTTCAACTCTTTAGCTTTTGGTGCATTACTAACATCTTCCAGTGAAATGCTGTCTTTCCCATATAGCAGCATATCGGCAAAAGTATCATAAGATGACGGTAAAGGACATAACATAATCAAGGCCTAGTCCTCACTCTCAATTTTGATATTCACATTCTTCAGGTCCATTATAATTGAATTAAACTCATCAATGTGAGTTTTAACAGGTGTACCTTTGTTCATACGGAGATTGTATAACCTATTTTTCAAGTAGAGGCGATTTGTCAACGATTTCTTAGAATACAGATCTTCCAGCTTCTTCCATGCCATTGCTGCAGAAGTTTCTTCAGCAATTTCCCGAAGAACGCTATCTGTAACGTTCATGAAGATCGCACTCAAAGCCCTCTCCTTCAGGTCTGCCTTCTCTGTCTCTTTCATCTCTTCACGAAAATGCTCATCAATTGCTTTCCACAACCCTTGTAACACCAGGGGCGATTTCATCCTAATCTTTCATAGACTGAAACTAGAATCCCCGTCAAATTTCTCTACTTCATATTTTGTTGAAGATGATGAAGACATCTTAACCCTAGATTATATGTAGAAGCCAGAACCTTGCTCTGATACCAATTGTTGCGGAAGATCGTGGGTTCACTAGCACACAATCACACACAAAGCAAATAGAGAAGAAAAATCAACACAAGGATTTAACGAGGTTCGGTTAAGCCTAACCCTTCGGGTAAAATCAAAGAGAGTTTTCCACTATGAATGAGAAGAAAAGCACAGTACAATCTATAGAATTCCCAACTACAACCCCTATATATGGATCCCAAATAGTCCTAAACCTATAAGAGAAAAATTTCCCAATTTGATAAGGACTATAGGTTTTTCTTTTCCAAATCTATTAGGATTTGTTTTATTTGAAAGTTTTTAGCTGCAATGAAAGCCTTCTGTTTTATTTTCCATGTGTTAGGTCGAAGTGTAAGCTCTATGTTTTGTTGTGGGACCTGCACTTTTCAGTAGTTGTTATACAAAGAGAAAATTGTAGTTGTTATGCATGACTTTCGCTTCTTAACTCGGCATCAGTAGAAAAGTTGAAGTAAACAAAATTCTTTTCACGTTATACTCACCTTTATCTCATAAACTCATTTTTTCTATATTCCAAATGCTAAAATCACTCCAGAATTAAAAATGAACATTTAGAGAATCCAGAACCCAAAATGAAAAAATATAATAAAAAGAATGAAGCTTTAAGTAATTTTGATAATCTTACCAGCTGAACAGAAAATGCAGAAGGATTAAAGTGGGAAAAAACTGAACTTGTTATAGCTAATGCCTAATGGAGTGCAGAACACAATTTTATGTTCATGTGCTCTACGCAAAATAAATTACAGAATATAATCTAGCTCTTCACTTGTTCAGTTGCTATACACAAAATAGAGTACACCTATAATAAGGCACAAGATGTGTCTATAAGTTTCTCCACAAAGTTTTAGATACTTGAACAAAAATGATATGCCTTGTATCAGCTTGATTAACAAATGGACTATCAGGAAGAAGCTTGTAGGCATGTAGGTATTCTTCTGCAGCAGCTTGATATAGGCTGCCCATACTAAACTGATGCCCTGAAATGATAATTGGAGCGATCAATGGTCCATTCCTACGTCAGTGCTTGTAAATATAGTGACTCCCTGTAAAATAAAGTAATATAATCAAGTACTAATCAATACCACAAGAATTAGATTAAATGTGCTTAAGTAAATAAAATACCAGTCCTACAACGTGTATGCTTAATATTACGCCTCGGCCTCTGCAATAGTCCAGCAGGCCAAATAGTCACAGACGCATGGCTTGTATCTCCATCATCGTTCGCATCATCCAAATTGTTACCATCTACATAGTCGTTGGCATCATCTAAATCGTTACGTTCTATATCGTCGCTAGCATCTTCCAAACTAATATCATCTATACCACCCTCACCAACAACACCAGGAAGCTCAATAGATAGTGGCACAGGCGACGAATTAAATTGTGGAGCATGCTCAAATTGTTCAGCCCGAAAATTAGCATAGACATCCGCAACTGATGAAAAATGCGGATTCGCAGAATATTGAGGAGTCTGTGGCGTCATGTATGGCACAATCTGAGTGTCTATGTTCTGATATGTCATACTTGATGCCTGACTGTCATCCTGATTGTGCATCCCTGAAGTGGATCCAATATCATAATCAGGTGCTGCCTGATCATTAGAGGTTGTCGGATCAACATAGGCTTCATGATCATCTAATGTTTCCTGCCGCTTCCATCCTTGCAGCAGGCTCTCGTCCCCTCTCAACAGCCCGGACCCTCCTACAAGCAACACCACCTTTTCCTCGCCTATGAACAGGGTGGTGTAAATGTTCTGTCTGTATCGTATCCCTTCTATAATCTACTGGTATCTGAATTCTATCAGCCTCATGCACATATGCCAAGCAACTATACCCTTGATCCCGTACCATTGCCCGAAACATGTATAAATCCTCATATGTTGGCTGATCACCCAGGGATTTTGCGCTATCAACCATTAAATGAATATGCTGCACCTATAGAATGCAAAGGAAATTTTAATTGAGCACATATACTATGATGAATTGACGAGCAATAATTATAGAGCTCTAAACTTGCTATGAACTTCTTAATTAAGGTAACAACAATGGAATTGTCTGCCGACTCAAATGGTTGACAATATGACAATCATATTCGTTACCACCTTTACCAAAACTAGCTGTCCACTTTTGCTTCTCTATAGTCAAACAAAGTGATCTTTGACTAAGACTTCTAAATGTATTCTTTCATCCGTCATACAACAAAACTGCAACCTCTATCATTCTTCATTATATAAATTAATCTATGCAGATTTAACATGCCCACAAAGAAAATTTAATCACTAGTAAAATCTAGTACAAAGAAAATTTTGTCATTTATAATGCAAAAGCAGAAGTTTCGAAATTAACCAGAAGCTAAAGATCTCCTCTGCAGAGACAAAATAGAATTAAGCTATAATGAGAGTTTGAGAGCAACAGGAAACAAGAAGATCGCATCACATCAAGTAAATTCGTGTCTAACCACAAAAAGGAAGAAGCTTGCTGCCCTTTCCAAAGAATGAAAATAGAAAAGACCTCAGAATTCAGCTAGCTATGTTGATTGTTAAAGAGGAACAAGCTATTTCCAGTTGTAAAATCATGCCGTGCAGCTTCTAGTCTAGATCTTATAAACACTTAACAATATCAAACTAATTATCCCAGCGGATACATTGTTATACCTTGTATCATAGGTACAGAAATAAGGGGACAAGAAATGAGAAAAAGGAAAACTTAAAGAAAAGAGAGTTAAAAACAAGAAGAAAAAAGATCTTAACATGATATATCACTAGTAAAGGCACACAGGTTTAATCATGCCCACTGGTTCCATTATTTGATCCAGTACAAAGAAACTCAATCCTCTTTAATCATGCCCACTGGTTCCATTAGTTGATCTCTTCATAGTGAAGATACAAAATTACTACTTCCTCCTTCCTAAATAAAGTTTAACTATTCAACTACGATTACATATACTTACCATTGCTTCATATGCTGTCGAGTTAGGCACATAACCTTGATGCCGCTGCGGACGATGAGTTGGATTTCCAATAAGAAGATGGGTAATGCGTCTGAACCAAATAAGGTAGATGTCATCGAATTGGAGTGGTCCCTGACTGACTGGTGCATTATAAACATATTGGTGTCGTTGGTTCCAAAAAGGTAACCATTGTGCATGTTCCTGATCCCAATGCTTATTCTTCCTTCCTCTACGATCGTGGTGAAAGTGTAAAACATCAAACTGGAAATGATCCGGTATCCGCTGCATAAACCCAAACTGCCTCACAACTCGATCAGGCAAGTGAACCTCAACCCCGTCCCAACAAAAAATAGTGACTCTAGCACGCCATAAGTCTCGCCCAAGGCGACAAAAATCAGGGAGGCTCCCAATTAAGTCATCACAATATGGCTCCCAAATAAACTACAACAAAAAATTAATTCATATAAGTGTTTACAATTAAAATCATAAAAAATAAACTTAGACTAATACGACAACTTACCTGATCCTCTGTCATTGAATCAAGTGCATCCCTATAAACAGACAACACATATTTGGTAGTGTCTGTCCTGTTAGCCCCAAGGTTTCACATACGATATCAAACCAACATATCTTAATCAAAGAACATTTACTTATGGTAAATTTATTTTATGCAGGTTTGTCAGTTGTGTAAGGACTTGGACAAAACAGGAATGAAGACATTTACAAAGAAGGATTATTTTGATGAAGACCCGGACAAATATGGAAAAGAAGCTTTTATGAAATCATCATAGAAGTAAAAAGAATGAAGATGAGGAGGAGAATTCTACCCCTAATCTAGCAAGACTGAATGGGCACATCAACCAAGATGGAATCTGGAAAGCATAAAGGAAGGATGAATTGAGAAAAGATTCAAATGGGCAAACGGATGTGACGTGGGTCACTAGTATTATTTTACTATCACAATCAAATAGAGCACTAAAGTTTTGAGATACAATAGAAGGAAAAGTCTTTCACAAAGGAAGAAATATTTTATTAGAAGGAGATAACATGGAATATTTTAAGAAGCAAATAAATTGATCTAGTGAAGAAGGAAAGAAAATCACGTTGAAAAACTACAAGAAAAGATGATTGAAGAGTGATCTTTGATAAACAAGAATTATGGAAAGTCAATCATGGGTTCTTGAATAGCACATGGAGAAAAAGATCCAAAAGCAATTCCTTGTAGTATTTAAAAGCCCATGTGAAAAGCTTCTTTATGGAAATATCTTTTTGGTCAAATCTAATCTCCATTAGATTTAAAAGGTGTAAGCTGTCAGAAGCAAAGAATGAACCGTTGGAAAAGTAATTCAGGAGATCCAAAACAAAGTGAAACGATATAATAGACATGATTGCAGTAAATCAGGAGATTCAAAATGGAAGGGAAACACAACATAATAGTTGCCACCTACGCTCTGCCATCCATTCAAAGTTTAGGAACCTAGGTAGTCGGCGAAATTATATGAATTGAATGACTTCAGCTTCGACAATCGTATCCTCCCTCCAGCAAATAAGGTGGAGTGAGCTAGAGACGAGGATGGCACCGTGAATGCTTAGCCAGAATAGACCAAGCTAAGCAAAGAGGAACTTTCTTTTTTGGGAGAGTATGCCAATATGATCTTAATGAGGTGCAGGGAAACTGACTTCCGAGAGAGCTGCTTTCGTCTCGGTAATTACCTAACGAGAGAGAGCCGATGCAAAAGTAATCCTTTACATGATCTACTAGTTGAAAAAAGGAGGATGCGTTGAAGAGTTTATGTTGTCTCGGTAGGGAATAGTCCAATCTTTTCTAGGAAGACAATTTGAGTGTTGTCCTTTTTCCCTTAAAGCCATCAAAAAAGAAAGGGAAACAAATCAAGTGCAATAACCACAAATCACTCCCTGGATTTCGGGTATGGAAAGCAAGCACTTAAATGAATCCAACTCATCTCTCATGAAGGATTCAGAGGCACCTCTTGGGTCAAATATCATTAGAATATTGTGGGCCTCAATCAAAAAGATCAATCTACAACAGCTCTCAAAACTCTACTATAAGAAGATTGGCAAAATCAAGGATTAAATATGCAGCCTTCTATACAATTGTCTATCCAACTACAAGCTCTTTATTCTACTCTTAACAAGCATTGAAATTTACTTTTAGTAGATTTACTGTGTACACAAAAGAGTGAAGAGAGACTGAAAAATATTGGAGAGGTAGTGTGTCCTTAGAGGTTGTGTCATTATTCAGTACTTTGGTGAGCGAGTGAAAGCCAAAGAATCGTTGTTGGTGAGTGAGTAAAAACCAACCTTTTGAGTTGTTGGTGAGCGTGTTAAAACCAACCCTTGGTCGTTGTTGGTGAGTGAAAACCAACCTTGTAAACGTTGGTGGTGAACGTTGAAAATCACACAAGCTGTACACAACTCATATTACAAAGAGATCAAGAGATAACATCCTTGCAACCCAAGGAGACTGGAGTAGGATACCAAATTGGTTCCGAACCAGTATAAAATTCCTGATGTCATTTACCTTACTGGTTTCATATTATATCATAAGCAATTACTGTTTGTTGAGATTAGTATTTGATTGAATCGAAGTACTAACAGTATTGTGCAAGCTGTCTCCGCAGCGGTCGACTAAGTGTATATCCTTGTCGACTAGAAATTTTAAATAGACTTATCTTTATTAGTAATTAGTAAATCACTTCATTCGTGCAAATTATCTGCATAAGTCAAGATAATCTCCTATGAACTAGTCCAAAAAAAGAATTCAAAGTAATGGCAATCCAGCATTTCAAAGACTATTATTTAATGGGTAAAAATTCTAAAAATGAGCTCCAGCAACTGACACTGATATATCAAAGAACATGGGATAATTAAAAAATTATTAAAAATGAGCATTGATATATCTGTTATTATTCTGTATTGCTGTAATAAACAATTAAACTTTCTGGAAAAAACAAAACAGAAAGTTAGTAATACTTGTTTAACGAAATAGATTCTGGAAAACAAATAAAAAAACAGTATAGGAATAAATCGAGCCCACTGAATACACAGTGTGTCCTTAAGGAAATTATTCCCCTCAAGTACCCGAGTTGCTGGAATATATCCTCCCAGGATAGAACGATTTAACTCACCAGTATATTGGTACCCAAACTCTGATGAACTGCGAACCACTCAATGGTCGTAAAACACACTAGAAAATATTGTGCAGAAGAAGAAGAAGAAGCGCAGAAAATTTCGTAAAGAAAGATTCTGGGATTCAAACTCTATTTATAGAGTTGCTAGCATTGTTTCTGAAAAGGGTTGCAACCTTTCAGAAATAGCCATGGCTGTTGGAAAATGGGTGTTTGGAAATATTGCGGGAAAAAATATATTTAAAATAATCCGGGAAAGAAAACGGGCCTGACCGAACCGGGTCGCGGGTCATGGGTTATTCCGGATTGAATTTTTCGTTAATTATTTAATTAATTAATTAAATAATTGAAAGGAATTTTGTCCAAAAAGATTAATCAATCAATCGATCTTTGACAAAATCCAAATCCGAATCCGAGCCGAGCAAGCGACGACGGCGGCGCGAGGCTTGCCTTTTTCTTAACTCTTTAAGAGCTAGAAGAAGAGCAATTATATATATACCTATCAAAAGCCTTTTCTTCCTCCGATATGGGACAATGTCCCTTTCCCAAGGGAATTCCCAAGGGAAACTCAAATATTTCATTTTCCCTACATTTCTCATTCACCCTCTTTAAGCTACACAAACTTAAAATCCCAACAATCCCCCACATGAATGGGGAATGGCTATAAAATAAAGGAATGCACGGACGCGTGTGTGTTTTACATGCAAGAATTAATTACATCTGGATAAGTAGGTTTCCCTTTGAACTTTCCGTAGTGAACTTATATCGGATATACTCGGTCAATCGGTAGATTTGATATCTTTGAACCGTCGAGCTTTGTTGTATACCTAGACAACATAAGTCACACAATCAATCCTTAACCATCTATGGTTCTCACGGTTGTGTTCGTTTCAGCCATGAACACCGCCTGGTTTCATGAGTGCTTAGAGAATGGGCCTTTACTTTCATTCCCCTTGAAGCGGCTTACACTTCACACTCACATAGGTCATTTCTAAACGTGTAATCCTATAGACACACTATCTGGTCATATCCTGCCAGACTTAGCAAATCATTAAAAAAAAATTAAGCTTTGTTGACTCATCAAAAAGCCTTAATGCTTTACCTTGATTTCTGAACATTGTCTTCATCACGAGAATGGGTTGAGTTATTTGACAATGTTGAACCGTCATTCATAACTTTGTTTGATCTCTTTGAACCTAGCTCATGGGATCTCCAGTCTGCTAGGTAGAGTTACCGTCATGATGACTTGTCCTAGACCTTAACCCCATTCCCTTTGATGATCTTTCAGCTGCCTCTCTAGATATGCCTTTTGTAAGTGGATCCGACACGTTATCTCTGGACTTTATGTAGTCAATTGTGATAACACCACTAGAGAGTAGTTGTCTAACGGTATTGTGTCTCCGTCGTATATGACGAGATTTTC